CCCAAGGCTGATGTTAGCATCAGCTGCATTGAATATAATGACCCCCTGCCCTGGAACTGACCAATCAGTGGAGACCTAGACCCTGAAAGGACACACCTGGAAAGCTGCTGAATATTATAATGAGATCTTCCCTTGGGACCTCCCCTAAAATCTCCACCCTTAAAACCCTTAAGAGCAGTGGTTCCCAACCTTGGCTCATCCTCCGGAATGAGGCCCAGAAATCAGGATTTTAAAAAGATTCCCAGGTGATTCTAATGTGCAGCCAAGGTTGAGAACCACTGCTTAAGAGGAAGGACACTTTCCAGAAACAAGCCTGCAACTTTCCCTTTCCCCTTCCCCTATCCCCGATCCTCTCCCCCACCAGACACTACCTTTACCTTCCTCAGTCCCAAGCTCCTAGGGCCCTTCCTTTGCCTCTATAACTTTTTCTGAAGCCCATTTCTTCTAAGAATTACTTCTTCTATCTCTGAGATTTTCCAAATAAATGGAAATGTCCTCTTATAGTTTTGAGTCTTGGCTCTGAATTCTTTCCTAGCCAGAACTCAAGTACTGAGGTTGCTGAACCCAGGTCCGGTCTGAACCTATGGGTCTAACACTTGGTGCCTTTCCCACCACTGCTAACAGAACCACTTAATAATTTACCACTCCAGGGAATACTCTAAAGTTCTACAGCAGAAGGTTAGAGGGGTTCAGAATAGGCCTTCCCAAAATGTGATACTTTGACATGTAAATTCTTTTGAGCTGAAGACAATCAAGATACTGCAATATCATGCCAAAATTTTACTCTTCCCTTAAAGAATTTAAGAACTTTGCCCCTAAAAAGAGTTATCACCAGAAAGAACCTTTTATGACCTATCTATAGGGCAGGGCAAATGTCCAATTAGTGAACATCCTGCACTAATTTCAATAAGAGACCATCCTTCCCTTTTAAGCCCCAAGGCTCTTACTGCATCCCTTAGCTGAGAATATCATTATCACTCCATTTTCCCTTTCTGTCTCTGAACCTCTCATGTGGGGTCTCTGACTCTCTTGTGTATGTGGGGCTCCCATATGTAAGAGTGCACTTAAGTTTGGTTATTTTCTCTTGTTAATCTGTCTCATATCTGTTGGATTATTAGACCAACCAAAAGAACCTAGATGTGTAGAGAAAAGTTTCTTTCTCCCTCACAAGGACCAAGGCATCCAAGTATATGGGCTCTAGTAATGGCATCAGAAGTTCCTTATGACCAGGGTTTCCATTAGCCTGTGTGGTGCCTTTATGTGAATTTAAAAATGGTGCCTCCCCTCTGAATAGATGAATTAGAAAATATAATCCTTTCAGGTGTACAAAACCCAGCAGGAAAGGAGTTGGCCAGGTTTCCACCCCTCAACCTCACCCTCTCGGCAGGAGGCCAAATGACTGCTTCACACAAACGTATCCCTGCCTCCCTTTTCTTCCCATCTCCTACAGTAGAAGAGACTGGAGCCAAGTCATCCTTCACACAAGGCCTGGGCCTGGGCCTGGGGAGTGAATAACGGATAACCACAGATTCTCAGAGTGAAGTTTCCTCCTAAACTTGGCATAACATAAAGATTTCATCTTGCACGCATCCAGTCTACGCATTGGCTGTCTGGACTGTGTTGAGAAAGATTGGAGACCCAATCCAGCACAAACAGCAAGCAGTGGGTGGATTAGCAGTAAAAACCATTGGTTTCCAACAACACACATGTCTCAGATTTCCTGTCCTGATCCAAACCATTCAAATCACAAGCATTCATTGAGCAATGAACATGTACCAGGCACTGTGAGTGATAACTTGGAAGCAGTCCTTCTAAATCTGGTCACACACTGGAATCCTTGAGGGACATTTGTTTTAGTCAGAATGTCATCAAGTTAGTTTCCATGTTGGGAAACTTACATCACTCACACTAAAACCACTGGTGCATTGGAATCACTGGTTCAACACACCTGCATCCACATGCATTTGTAGCTGTTGTATTCCTGATGATTCGCTGGGCTCTGCCTTCTGTAGTCATGCTCTAGCACTTATGTATTGAGATATGATGCAGAACCAAACAATTTTCCCTTGATTTACATGGTAGTTGTGTACTTGGAAAATGCACTGCATATTAAAAGCTTGCAAAAACATTTTGTGTTTAACATGAAAAATGAAGTTAGCTTGTGGGTTCAGAGGAACAGGCTTTTAACCTACAGGAATATTGTGTTGGACATTCCCAAATCTCATAGAATGAAAGATAACGCTTTATTGTGTGAGACTCTCATACACTGCACCATGCCCAGCATGCCCTCCCTATGGCAAGCCAGAAGTGCCCCACATTCTTCCAGAATGCCCCCTAGGGACAATAAAAACAAACAAACAAAAAACCCAGAACAGATCCCTTGTAATTTTCTGTGAACTAAAGCTATTCTAAAATACAAAATTTACTACTTTTGGGGGTTTCTTTTTGTTTGTTTTTTCTATGCTGTGACAATTTTATTTTTAGAAAATGAGTCTTGATTTAGCCAGAGCCTTGGGGATATAAAGGATTAGCCATTGTCATATTCAAAATGATGCATTTATTCGGGGAAAGCTTGAATTTTCTTTGTCTTCTTCAGAAGAAAGAGCTATAGGAATGCCTACGACTGGAAGTAATATCAATTTAAAACAACTTTACTGAAACTTGAGTTGATGGTCCTTACCATAGTTGATGGTACAAGTGGATCTCATGTACTGTTTCCAGGCATCACTCCCAGACTCCTTGCCACCATCAGTGTGTTTTTCTGCTGCAAATACACCTCCAGTCTCTGCCCCACTCATTGCAACTCATAGAACAGAGATCAGAATGGTGCTTACAAAGGCTGGGGTCAGGAATGAAGGAAATGGAGAGAAGCTGGTCAAAGTGTACAAACTTCCAGTTATAAGGTTAACAAGTTCTGGGTATCTAATGTTCAGCACTGTGATGATAGTTAATAATACTTGAAATGTTCTCAAAAGAAAAAGAAATGGTGATTACGTGACATGATAGAGATGGTAGCTAATGCTGTGATGGTAATCATTTTGCAGCATGTGCATGTATCAAATCAACACATTGTACACCTTAAATTTATAGAATGTTACATGTCAATCATGTCACAATAAGGCTGGGGGAGAAGAATTAATTAAAATAATATTTTAATACAAAATTTATCTTATTAAAAAAATACAGATTCTTTGGCTTTACCATCAGAATTACTGACTCAGAAGCTCCCCAGATGCCCGTAACATGGTCAGGGAGCTCAAAAGCCACTCTTTTGGCAGCTACTAAGATGACTAATAGGAATCTCCTCACTTCTTTTATCCATTTATCTTATAATTAAAACGCTTTTCACGTCGAATTGCAAGAAGAAAAACAGTTAACATCATCAAATCAACTTTATGTCTCATGACCAAGGTATATTTTTAAATAAAATGAAGATGTGTGAGATATATATATATATATATATCAGAAAAAGTATATATGTAAGTATATAGCGTATCCACAAAAAGTACTCACATACATTTTTGATAACTTAATTAATGTTTCTTTTCAGATTTACCCCATTGGAATTAATAATTATTCAAAGTGTGTATATTTTTGGGGGGGACACCCTGTATATACTGCGTAACAATGAAAACCAGTATTTTTATATTTTGAAACAAAAGTCAAAAACATGAAATTAGATGGTCTAAATTAAATGCTTCCAGTGCAATTTTAGCACCTTTTCCTCTCTTTGGTCTCTAGTGGAAACTGAAATAAAAGCTTACTATCATCCACAAACTCTCAATGATACATTATAAATTTGTTCTCTCTCAGCCTTACTTTCTCTCACTTAGTAAAATGGTATTTCTTTGCCTTTTCTTCATGGGCTAATGTCATTATCCTCTATTAAAATTTCTCCAAATGGAATATATTATATTTTAATTTTAGGATCCAAACTGGTGGTGTTTTTTTATACTGTAAATGGTGTCTAGTGATATTTTCCTTCTTTACAGAGAAAAAAAAAGTAAGAGGAAATGGGTTTGCATAGCAGTCGGAGGAATTTCCGCCAAATATAATGAAAAATTTCCTGGTAGCCTAGACAGCACAAACTGCAATGGGTCAGTTGGGGGGGTGGGGGCGGGGGTGAGGTGGTGATGTGAAATCTCCTACTTTGTAAGTTTGTGATAACAACCTAGATTCTTATCTGCCTGAAATTCTTTAGATGTAAATCTGTCTTGTGGGCAGGGAGTAGACTTCCTGGTCTATAAGGCCATTTCTACCATACATCATTGAGACAGAAACACAAAATACATATCTATAAACCAATTGCATGAACCAGGAACAATCTCACCACGTTTCTCAGCTGGAACACTGGTGAAAATTCATCTCTGTGCATTGGAAGGTGGTTTAACACTGCCACAACCCACCTCTGGGTCTAATTATCTAATTACTAAAATGAAGGAAAATAATGTGTTCCTCACAGAGTTGTGAGGATAAATGAAATATAGCAACACTGCCCACATAGGTCTGTCCTTTAAAATTTTAGGATCTGAAAAGATAAAAATTTTCAAAAGCCCAAGCTATAAAAGACACAGCTCTAAGTTGTTATACCATAGCCAATAATCTCTGAATCCACGCATTTTTATAGGGAGCATGATGCGATTCCTCATCCAAATAGCCATGGCTTTGTTTCCTGTTTTGTTTTGTTTTGTTTTATTTTGGAAGAAAACATTTCTTCTCTTTTACTGTTACCTAAAGTTTTCTTATTCTTCCTTACAATGATGGGACACTGTTAAAGTTATTCCTAATTTCCAGCAAAGTGAAAGAAGAGAGGAAAAATGTGTAACGAAGAAAATTGAATATACATCACCTATCCCTGAATGGTAGTATAAATCTTTTAGTGTGTTTTGTAAAGAAATAGTTAGATAGTTTCATAATCATATCCTCTTATTCTTCTCAGAAAATATTGACCAAAATTGATCGTTTCAATAATGGAAATACTTTTGTTGTGTCTGTTTCAGGCATGTGGCGCTGGGTTCTTTCTTGCCCAGTCGGGAGAATGCTTGCCCTGTGACTGTAACGGGAATTCCAACGAATGCCTGAACGGCTCTGGACTCTGTGTGGTAGGTTGGGGGCACTTCTCACAGATTTCATTGGCCCTTTGCATCTTGGGTGGGAATAAAATATTTTTCCTGGACATTGGAGCTACCTAGGAACAAACTGCTAATCAAGCTCTTTTTCTTACCCTTCACCTTTTCCTGTAAAACACCCCATATAAACTGCTTATGATTGCAAGTGGCTACCGAGGCCTGTGTCTGAATGGGCACGTGCCCCTCGGGGTAAGTGCCTCACCGCCCCCTGCAGCTGGCTTCCTGCTGTGGGCCAACAAGCAATTGAAAAGAACACACATAGAAGGAAACCACCCATCCAAATTCCTCTGTAATAATATAGTTTGCCATATGTTTGGCTTCGCTCCACATAAACTGGGAGAGTAAAACAGTTGTTTCATAGACTATTTTACAACTTATAAGGTAGTCAGGTCTACAGGTCAAAATTAAAAAAAAAAAAAAATAGGTTCGAACCAAATTGCTAATAAAAATGAAAGCTTTGGCCTTGTGGTCTTTGTAATCTGTGATCAAACCCCCAGAAGACTTTTTTTTTTTTCTTAACTGAAATGAATTCTCCAATAGACTGTTCTTCAGTGAAATATGGTAGAGACTTATGAAGAAGACTTAGAAGCCTTCTAGCAAAAAACTACTTGCTACATATTTTCCATTTCCACTAAATGGACTGGCAACTTAGTGAAAATGGGAATTGAAAAATTTACCAGAAATAGTTTATGTAGGAGTCATAGCAGGCATTTTTAAAGACTTGTGCCCTAAGATCATATTTTTCCTTCATAAGCTATATTGCATATGAAGGAAAATTAGGTTCTTCAGTTTCCTATGAGACAAAAGAGGCTTTCCAGAACTGCAAGAGTATTTTTGCATAAAATATAAGAATATTTAATTAAGTATACCTATTTACCTTAAAATTAACATAATTGTTCTTGTAAGCAGGTCATTTTGATTATAAGTGGGCTCCAAGGTGTGTACATGAAGGTGTTATTTTACTCATGATTTACATTAAAATGCAAGTTAGAATGTTTTCATTTATTTTAAACCAAGCAGTTGCCATTGTTCTAGGGACAGAGAGAATTAAGTGGCAAACAATAACAGTTGTTGTCTGTATTTTTGCTTACTCCTGGCATTTCTGTATTCCCTTCCCCCCTCTTCTTAAATAACCATTACATCCAGGATGTCCTCTGTAGCAGTGTAGGCACATGCAGCTGCCAACATCTACCCCTTTCTAATGCTTCCATCTCCGGTTTCCTGTTATTTTAATCCCAGTGACATTTGAAAAGAAAATCCCATGGATGCACTTGAACTAATAATGTACAGCTCTGATAGTTTGACTAAATAAAGGCTCTTTGTTATCTGGCTTATTAAAATATAAGTCAATAGGGACTTGAAAGTCCATCAGCTATTGTTAGTCAGGCAGTCAATAAGAGGGAAGACAAACAGCTTAAAGGGAAATAAGTTCCTCCTGCCAGTGCCTGTGGAGAGCTACGACAAAGCCGCTCTTGCTGACAGTGACACTTGTCAAAATAGGAGCTCTCGCGGGTTTCCCCTGACTAGCCATGAGCTTCTGAAGGGACAGCCATCCTGTGATTCCTCCACAGCACCTGGGCCAGAAGAGGTTCTAATAAAATTGGGGATGGGCTATGGTGTAAAACACTTTTATGCACACTCGAGGGAGTTGCCAATCTTCCTACAATTACTTTTTTCAAGACAGAACAATGGAAAAAAGAGATAAAGAATAGCCATCCTATTCATCCTAATGGTGATTCCTCCACCCCACCCTACCTGGAGGGAAATATTTTTCTTCCTAGTTAAAATAATATATGTTAAAAAACACACAAACAAAACAACAACTACACATATATACTGTACATGAGATCCAAAGGAAAAATCAAGCACTATCTCATCCCCCAGAGCTAAAACATAATAAGTATATTCTTATAAGTTTAATTTTGAAAGACAAAAAAATGTAATTTGTGTTTAATTAAGCACAAGTGAGGGAGCAGAAGAGGTAATATAGAAAAAATATGTTGCCATTTAGTTGGCAAATATATTATCTATGGTATCACACAGGAATCAAACTCATATTTATTTGTAATTCTGGCCATCTGGTCGACCAGAGCCAGTGTCTCAGCTCCTGCTCTGTAGCCCCACCTCCTTCTCAGTTCTCAGAGAGCCTGCGAAGCAACAGCTCCACATGAACACTTCCTTGCAGCTCACTGCAGGCACCAGAGTTTCAATAAGTTGCTGCAGTTCACCTGGCCTACCCCATGCCTTTCATCTTCCATAAGAAACTAAAAATAAAAGGCCTTATTTTATTTTATTTTATTTTATTTTATTTTATTTTATTTTATTTTATTTTAAAGGCTTATAATGCCTCTGCCTTGTCCTCTCTCAACTGTTTCTAATTCTTTCAATGTGACCTTATATTTTACAGGCTGCTTTTAAGGAACTATGACCTTTGACAATAAAATATAAAGTAGATAAAGTTATATTACCATTTTTAGAAATTCTTTCACAAGAGGAATGTTAAGTTATCAAATGCAGAAAAGTGGCTTAACTAATGCAGTCCAACCAGTATTGGTGTCTTTCAAAAAGGCCACCTTGCATCTTATCAGAACTGGAACACTTTGGGAAGAGTTCTCAGCTGAGTCTCGCAGGCAGGGCCCTAAAAGCCAGGCAACTCCAGTGCATATGGCAGGTCCCCAGGAAAACTCCAGAAGGAGGCCTGAGGAAGGAATTGTGGGGCAGAGAGATGGCTGGTGGTAGGAATGCCTGCTCCAGACTCTTCTTTCCCTGCTGTGTCTTCCTCACTAGCAACGGAGACACCTTTCAAAAACACAACCCAACCAAGGCATTCGCCTTTTTAAAATTCTTCAGGGTTTTCTATTCCAGCCCCACTGAGCTTCTCGCTACCCTCTAAACTCACTCTGTGCTCTTGTACTCTGTCCCAATTTGTACTTCCAAGTTCTCTGCCTCTCCCCTGTTCTTGCTCAGCCCTCAAGGCCTAATTCAAATGTCACCACCTCTACTAAGCTTCTCCAACTTTCTCAGGAAAAGCTAGAATCTTTCCCTCCTCTTTGTCCTACAGCAGGAATGTACTGAATGCATACCTCAGAGCACAAACACTATATTATTCCTTGTTTATCTCTGTTTCCTTCACAAGTCTGTGAGCTGATGAAAGGAAGGAACCAACGTTTTCTCATTTTAGTAACAGTCACAGCTCATTATCTATCTCGATATCAGCTTAATCTAGGTTTGTTAAGTGAATGAATTGATTGATAAAATAACTAGCTTAATTGCACAAACCTTTGATTTTATAATTTATGGGACACTTGAGTCACTATTTCAGGAAAAGGTAATGTCTGTTATGCTAGAGACTCAGCTCAAGTTCAATGCTGAAGAACTAGCCAGACACTTGCTTCTCAAAGTACAGTCTAGGCCAGAAACACTGATGATACTTGGAAGCTTGTTAAAAATGCAGACACCCAGGCCATATTCCAGACTTCCTTAATTAGAACCTGCATTTTCACAAGATGCCCGGGGCATTCATGTGCACAGTAAAGTTTGAGAATCACTGATTCAGACAGAGTAGCATATCTCCAACTTTTTTGTTTCATGAGCCCTTTACACTCGTCAGAATTATCCAGCTTGCCAAGTGACTTTTCTTTATGTGGGTTATATCTATATTTTCAGCATCTGACATTTAAAACTGAAAATTTTAAAGAATATTTTTCTATTAATTTATTTGAAAACAACAATAATAAATCCATTGCATGTAAATTTACATATTGAAAGTATATTTAATGTCCGGTTTAATGGGAGGCAGCTAGATATCATATCTGCTTCTGCATCAGTCTGTAGTGATATCTCCTGTCTTGTAGACTCAGGGGGACTCCACCTTACACACATGAGAAAACTAGAGTGTCAAAGAAAATAAATCTAGGTATTATTATGAAAATAGTCTTCACCTCCCTGGGCATACTTCAAAAAACACAGATCTAGATAGACTATAGTCTTGCACAAAGCATGTGACAAACCACACCGAGGCTAATCTGATCCTTCAGGCTTTCTTCCTACATTATGCTGGTACTGTGGCCAAATCAGTAAGAGACATCACTTCTAATGTGAAGGAGACACAGCTCTTATCCAAATATCCTTCCTATTACCAATGTGTAATTGGTTGTCTACATAGTAGCTTTCTTAACCACTGGCCAAAGACTCAGAATGCTTTTTACATTTTTGAGTGAGATCAGGTTTATTTAAAAATAACTCTTCCCTTCTAACAACATACTTACTGATTGCTGTCATTTTTGTTTTCTGATTTTTTAAGTGGCAGAGCATTGAAGGTAAAGGGATATTTGCAATATCAGATTAAAAAATTTTCGGAGCTAGAGGAAATCTTATAGGCCTTCTAGTCTAGATCCTGAGAATAGAGACCCAGAAAGGGCAAGTGACTCGTTCAAAATCAACCAGCTAAAAATGGAAAAACCAGTCCCTTCCAGCATTCTCTCTGCCCATCTCCCAGACTGTGCATCAGTGCCTTTTAGGAAATTTCATTATAAACCCTTTAAAAGGAGACAGATGAGGAAAGTCAGTGTTTACACTCTGGGCATTTAGAGGCTGGAGAGATTTGGTTATTGCTCCTGTGGCTGCTCTGGCAGAATTAGAGCCCTGACAAGGAATCCAAAGCATCTGTTGAGCCATAAGGGGACAGAATTGGGAATTAGCTCATTTTTTGCAACTTAATAGGCATTCCAGGCACAAAGAATGGCCTGCACAGATGGGCTTCATCTGTCCAACAAGGACTCAGACAAATTTGACCCCAGTCTACAAGTAGCCCTGCCAGATTGCTTATGGCTTAGATTCCTGGTGGTTGGACAAGGCTCATTGGTTTTCCATGGGATGAGAGATTGCCACTAGTTTTTAGCTGGTTTTGGGTGAGTGTTAATTTCCTTTATTTGCTCCAGACATCAATTGACTAATTCACCCTATGCCAATTTTTCTTTCATTTTTTTTCCTGACAACTGACTTAGCACAAGACACCGTGAGGGAACTATGCTAATATCCTGTTGTCTGCACACCAGACTTTATTTTTCAGAATTTTCACTGATCTATCAGGCACTCTGAACTATCCCCTAAATTCCATTCTAACATAATTCTAATCAGGAGCCAAAGATGACCAATTAAGTATGCAAAGGGTGTTCAACTAGGATAGCTTGTTGCCACAATAGTATCCCTCTTTTTTTTTTATTAGTGTGCTGTACTTTCTTTGAAGCTCAAACTATTCATATAATAGCCTGACAACTTCTGATGCAATGATTTTGTGACTCTTCTGGAAAGAAGCCTTTTCTCCAATACACTGGAGAAGCAGTGAATGAATGAATGAATAGCCTAGCCATCTGCCTGACATTGGGCAATGTCCTTAACTTCTCTGTGCTGTCATCTCTTCATATGTAAAATGGGGGAGGAAATGTAACTTTCCTTAGAATTATTGTGAAAATCAAATTAATCTATGTAAAATGTTTACAGCAGGGCCTCACCATTATTTTATTTTGAGCCTCAACATAGCATATAAAGATTAAAGACCTCAGAGTTCAGCCTACTACTGCTCCATTTTGCCTTCCCCAGGCTTCCTCACAGAGCACTGTTTGGAAAAAAACTAATTCTATTGAAGCTCTGTGCATAGGTCTTACTAAGGGAATTGCTCAAACAGGAGGGTGTCCCTTCAATGGCATTCTGATTCTAACCCTATTGAATCTTTAAACACTTTGGTGAATGTAAAGATAAACATATCTTAACTAGTGACCCAGAGCATGAAATCGCACACAGTAGGCTGCCCGCCGCTTCTGCAGGCACCTGCGGGAGGCGGGAGCGAGCCGCTGGCACTTGTGGGAGGCGGGCACAAGTGGCCGCCACTACCCGCAGGAGCCGGGAGGAGGGGGGGACCAAGAGGTGCTCCATGCATCTCCTGGTGACCGGTCACGCACGCAGCCCCCCCACCCACACACGCCTCGCCACACACACAGCTCTGCCCCGCCCCTGCATGTGCCTGCTGCGCACCCAGCCTCCTGCTGATTGGTCGGTCGTGTGAGGGCGTGACAACCATTTGCATATTAGCCTTTTATTACATAGTGTGCTAATGGCATTGCCTTGTGCAATCCAGGCTAGTCCAGTTGAAGAAAACTACCAGTGCACTAGCATCACTTACAGATTACTAGTCAGAAATTAACCCATCAGCTGGACAAAGAGCTATGAGTACCTACTCCATTCAAGTTGATGGCAGTGCACTGGTTAAAGACACAAGCTGGGAGCAGATGATAACAGTATAATGTGTGCAGTGGCAGGAGAGGAGCATCACGGAGGAATTCCTGGAAGTTTTGAGACCAGATAAAGATCTCAAATGATGAACAGGCATCTAGGCAGAAAAATCAGCCTGTTTTGTGCTTTTTTCTAATTACCCTCACAACAAATGGATAAATCATACAAATAAACCAGCTTACTATTTCTTGTATGTCACCATACAAGATACCAGTCCATTAACAGTATATTCTTTATCTACTTTCCATTACATTTATACTTCAGAATGACACATTTTGTTCTTCCAACCCCATAAATCAAGCATGTCAAACTCAAAGGCTAACACGGGCCAAATAAACAAGGTTTAAGTTTATGTGGGCCGCAAAAAAACCAAAAGCTTCAATTTTCATAGTAATGTAGGTTTATTTTGATAGAGACATACTGAATACAAAGGGCTGAAATAAATGAGTAATCGTTAACATAAAATAATAGAACATTTTAATAAAAATTAATATTTTTTCTTGAACATTAACTTACCAGACACTGAATAACTGCACAAATTAATAAGCGTACCGCAAATAAACCTAGTTTTCTTGTTCTCCAAAAGCAAAATATTTCCTGTTGTGCACACCAAATAAGTCAGTACAAGGCTAATGATGTAGCAATCAGCTGCTAAAATATTTGCTGCTAGTATTAGTGGAGATAAATGGTGCGCCTGCGCATAAGGCACATAAGGGAAATGAATACAACACAAGTACAGTAATCAGTCATTAGTGAATGTTATAGTTCGTTATTAATGATTATGTATAACAGGATATTGTAAAAATTAAGTTACGACATTTTTTATTAAAATGTTTCTTACATATCATTATATTGGCTGGGCCACAAAAATATTCATTGTGGGCCACATGCAGCCCATGGGCCACGAGTTTGACATGCTTGCCGTAAATTCTTAAATTGTTCCCTGTGTCATGGATGAGCACAAGGAAGATTTTTTTTTTCCATTTCATATTCATTCCAAGTCAGTAAGCTGATGCTTCTACAACATCCAGAATTTGACATTCTGATTAGCATTCTGAATTGAAAAAGCACACAAACTCTAAAGAGAATCCCAGGCTGCTAGTGCTCACACAGAAGTCCAGGTCTAAGTCATGCATCATTGTCCACACTTTCTAGCACTGACTGGGGGCAACGTGTATCCTTTGTGATAATTAGTACTGATGCACACCATCTATTCTGTCAAGCCTGACATCCTCTTTACTGGAAGTATCACTTGGTTCCCAGATTCCCTGTCTGTAAAATTTCTTTTGTGTCCTTGTCAATTTTTCTATCTTTTGTCTTATAGCACTGCCAACGGAACACAACAGGAGAGCACTGTGAGAAATGCCTAGATGGTTATATTGGAGATGCCATCAGGGGACCGCCCCGGTTCTGTCAGCCATGTCCCTGTCCACTACCATACTTGGCCAAGTAAGTCCTAAAGGAAGATGATCCCTTCTACTGCTTATCTCTCCCCAGAGTTCTAAGGTTTTCCCATTGTCAAAACTGAGTACCTCATGCTGAGATGAGATTGAAAAAGACACAGGAAAGATATCTAGCCTAAATATACTTTCAGGGAAGCTTAAGTGCTTGCAGTATACTAGTATGTGATGACTTCATTCCCAAAAAATTGGGGTGCACCATAAAGTTAATGAGGTCTCCCAAGTTTTATAAGCAAGGGTAATCTCAGCTATTCTTGGCTTACCCTTGACCTAGAGAGATCACAACATAACGCCAATAGATTCATTATAATCCAATATTTTCTTTAAACTCTGATAGAGCAGATATTTCCCTATAATTTGCAGCCAAAAAGGATTTTTAATCAGAATTAGAACACAAACACAATGCATGCTTTAGGCTAATCACCTCATAGAAGATATCCAAGAAAACTAATTTTCACCTCTGGTTGTGTTTTGGCCTGAGTGAGAAGTTAAAGAGCATAGATATACATCGTAATGGAAATAGTGAATTTCTTTCCAGGTAGCTAATATGCATACTAGTAAATTCAATAGTCAAGTCATGGTTAGCCATTTTATTGGCTTAAAAATGATAGACTGTAGAATTAAAATGGTGTACTGGTATTTGGTTCTCCAAATATCAACCAATTCTTTAATTCTCTGATACCAACTTGGTGTCCTACAATCAATCAGTTCTCACACTAACTGCCCAGAGTTAGTGCAGACCCCGGAGTTTAAGGGCTCATTCCACTTCAGAAGCAGCTGAAATGGGGTCCCCAGGCTTTTCACATTTTTCCCATCTAGCTACAAATGTAGGGATCCCTCAACCCCACTTAGGTTTGGTAATTCTCTAGAATGACTCACAGAACTCAGAAAAATGAGTTTTATTATAAAGAAAATAACTCAGGGACAGGCCAATGAAAAATATGCATAGGGCAGGGTATGGATGAGGAGATAGGATGGACCAGAGCTTCTGTGTGCTTACTCTCCAGGGGCAGCATCTTTTCAGCAAATCAGTGTGCTCACCAGCCCAGAAGCTCCCCAACCCTTGCTGTTGAAGAGCTTTATTGAAGTTCCATTACATAGTCATGATTGATTAAATGACTGGTGATTAAACTCAATCTTCAGCACCTCTCCCCTCCCCTGAGGTTGGGGGAGGGATGAGGTTGAAAGTTCCAATCCTCTAATTGTGTAGTTGGTTCCTCTGGCAGACTAGCCTCTATCCAGAAGCTATGTAGGAGATCACCAAGAATCACTTCATCATCATAAACTCTGATATGGTTGAAAGGAACTCATTTTGAAGGACAAAAGACAGTCTTGAAATTCCAAGGGTTTTAGGAACACTGTACTAGGAACCATGTACAAAATCCAATTATATATATTACTTCAGGTAGAGTAATGAAACTAGGTCAATATCTGTGCTCTGGCACATAATAGCTGTATGATCTCAGACAAGGTCTCATTTTCCATAGGATTGGGGTCAAAGAGACTAGATTCAGATCTTAGTTCCATTTATTTATTCCTTTAGCCCAGTGATGGAGAACCTATGACACGCGTGTCAGAGATGACACGCGTGTCAGAGGTGACATGCGAACTCATTTTTTTGGTTGATTTTTCTTTGTTAAATGGCATTTAAATATATAAAATAAATATCAAAAATATAAATCTTTGTTTTACTATGGTTGCAAATATCAAAAAATTTCTATATGTGACACGGCACCAGAGTTAAGTTAGGGTTTTTCAAAATGCTGACACGCCGAGCTCAAAAGGTTCGCCATCACTGCTTTAGCCACTCTAGATCTCAGATTTTTTTAGTAAATCAAAGTTGCTCTCAGAATCTGCCTCAGAGAGTTAGACTATGATATGTGTGAACCATTTGGGTTGGTGCCTTACACATGGAAAGGAGTATGTTGGATGTTGGCTTTAGTAAACACATACTTTATATATTTTCTTAACACTTTTATTCCATTTACTCTATGTCAGGAACTGTTCTAAAGGTTTGGATATAATAATTAGTTGAATGCTGTTAGAAAAATTAGGTTAAACAATGCATATAAAATAACTTAAAAGGCCTCAATAACTGCCCCCCCCCCCACACACACACACTCTCTCTCTCTCTTAAAAAGAGAAAAAAAGAGGAGATAACAACCAAATGTCTCCCTAATGTTTTGTCCTTAATTGAATACCAATATTGATTAACATTTCTCCTAATAGCTTGTGATTTGTTCAAATCCTCTGAGGGTCTGACAGTCTGGGAAGAAGTCAGATGTTTTATAGCCCCATCTTTCTTTAGAAATCATTAAACTGCCTCAGCCCTTCCTTTGTAATTTTTCATGTCCAATGGTATTAATAACCTGCAAAAAATGAATGGTACTGAGAGTGAGAGTAGAAAACTCCAACATTAAATCTTCTGTTATTTCCACTCAAGTGTATCCTGATTTATGTCGCCTCATCTAGGTATATTGTTTTACTGTTCATTAATATTCTGCTCTTAAACATTAGTTTCAACCATATCTGATGACATGTTTAGCATGTCACTCTCTTATGTGATATAGTTATTTTGATAAATATATTTACCTCCAACCTCCTAATAACAGGTATCACTCATTTGCCCATGTAAACAAAGATGTTATAAAGTATTAACTGCTCTAAACAGGTTTATAAGCTTTTAGAAACTAACAGGAGAATTAAAAAGGCAATCCCAAATGCTAATTGTATTGTCTAGCTTATGCATTTTTTATTCCTTTCCTATGACAAGACTTTTTAATCTAAATTACCTGACATTAATGTCTTGAGATAAAAGACTTTTGGAACTCATTTCTATTGACTGAGAAATTTTGTCTACATGCAATCAAGAAATATTTATTGAGTGCTTATGTGCCAATCATGTACCAGTTGCTGGTCACAGTAGTGAATAAAACAATCAAAAAGTCATGCCTTTACTAAGATAAGTCCAAATACAGCAGTATTATGAAGCTCCTAAAGCAACTTTTTCCCTTTTAGGCCAGATTATCCAGTATTTCAGTTGCAGTTACTTCAGCTATTATGAAAGCCATTAATTCTTTTATTTATCATTTATTTTTTAAATATATTTTTTATTAATTTCAGAGAGGAAAGGAGAGGGAGAGAGAGATAGAAACATCAATGATGAGAGAGAATCATTGATCAACTGCTTCCCTCATGCCCCCTACTGGGGATTGAGCCCACAACCCGGCATGTGCCCCGACCAGGAATCAAACCATGACCTCCTGGTTCATAGGTCAACGCTCAATCACTGAGCCACTCTGGCCAGGCTGTTAACTCTTAAATAATTGAAGCAGAAACTTGCCAATTGGGTAATAACCTTCTTGCCTTGAAAGAGAAAAAGTTTCCATAGGCATCAAGGACCTCTGTGTGTGAGAGTGGATCCCAGTTCCAAAGAGTGAAGGTCTTAGGAAATGTGCTCTGCAGTTAGGAGCATATTCACAGACATGAAAACTGAAGTCTCCATAATACAGATCTGAGGTTGAAAAACCTGCTCAACATGAATACAAAAGCAAAAATACACCCCCAATAAGTAAAGACCATATGTGGGAATGTTGAGGGATTGGGAAGGGTGTGAGAGACCTGCTCTCTTTGTAGTGGCAATAGTTCTACTTCCCAAATCCCTTGG